AAAGATTTCAAGACCTAAACATAGTGCATCTTATAACACATAATCGAAACCATCCATTTTAAAAACTTTTTAAGTGTTTCTAAATATGTTCCACACCCACGCGCAGTTTTCATGGTGCCGTCTTCCAATCTAATACATAACATCCTAATCGTTAGCTTCCACAATAGACAGCTAAGATGCTAGACACCAAACCTCTAAGTTTGGCACAAAATATCTAAGCAACACTCTCAATAACATACACTTAAAATCACCAAATTAATTAGATGCCACGATATTGGGATCTTCTAGTGTTTATACTTTTGTATACTTTTTCATACAATATATATAGTCCTTATATTACAAAAAAACCACACGCACATATACACAAACACACAAACACAAAGGGTATGGTTTACGTAATATTGCAATCTTAAACAATACAATTAAGGGGCACCTCTAAATTTTATCATAAACATAATTTTACTGTAAAAAATTATTAGGATGGCTTGAGAATCTATTTTATCTCTAATTATAAAATTTTAAACTCTAAAAATAGTTCAAATTAAGTAAAGGATACGGTTTCTATGCGGTCAACCCCCATGCCGGCTTCGAAATAAATATATTTTTAAAATATAATTTTATCCTAATTTTTGAAAAATATATAATTTTTAACATGGAGATTGTGAATATGAATAAATAAATAAATTTTAAAAACTAAAAACAATATTTATATCAAAAAAACATTTGAACCCTTAGTTACAAATTGTTTTTAGATGGACTATCTATTTTCATCCATCCATCTTTAAAATGGAGGTTTTATACCTATGGAATGCATATTGTAGAAATGCGGTTCAGCCCGTACAATTTTCCTTGAGTAAATCTATGAATACATCAAAATCTTAAAAATAAACTGTCTATATAATAAGATACACTATTTTGGTGACTCGAAATCCTTTTTTCTTTTCATATTTATACATCTTTATGATCAATTAGAGAAATTTTCAACATCAAAATAATGAATTAGTTGGTTTTCCAACGCCAAAACGACCTTTTATAATAGATTTTTTAGGTGCACCTTAATTCTACATTTTAAATTGCAACATTACATAAACTTTTCTTTTCCATATATATATATATATATATAGATGGGTCCTAAGTGGATCTCAACAGCGCTGGTTGGGAGGACATGGTATGCTTGCTCATGTGTTTATTCTTATAAAATAGAATTAGAATAAACTTATCTTACTTAATTCATGATTAATTAATGATACGTAGGGAGAGAGAGAGAGAGCAAAAAAAAAATAAAGGGGGCGAATGGTTGAGATCGATGAACACGATTACAAGAGAGATATGTGGTATGGAAAGGAAGGAAAGGAAACGATGTGGAGGCATGTGTGCGGTACGTATGTACATGATGGTAGCCGTTGATTGATCAAGCGACGGTGATGATGCTCCCACCCTTGGCCGCCATGGCTTGGAAAGCAGAGTGTCTGGAAGCAGGCTGCTGTTGCTGCTGCTCAGAGAGCTTCTGAGAGAGCGCCGAAGGCTGCAATGCAGAAGATGAGGGCGGAGGCCCCGCAACCGGGGCAGCAGGGACGACCGGAATCGGCCTCATCAACTTTGGATGGGGTGGCAGCGGCATACCAGCATCCGCAGCCGCCGTGGCTCCTCCATGATTTTGATTATCCGAGATTTGCAGAGAAGTAAAAGAGGAGAAGCAGGGGAAGGAATGCATCGAAGGGAGGTTGTTGTTGGAACACTGGTTCTCGGCGGCAATCACAGTTTCCTCCTCAGCTGGCAAGCTCAAGAACTTCATGCCAATCAAGCATGGTTAAAATAAGAAGGCGAAAGACAGAAGATACAACAGAGAAAGGGAAAAATGGGGTGATATACCGTATCGGTGGTGATGTCGAAGAGGCTGGAACGACGGCGCCGCCTGCTGAGGTTGGTACGCCGGAGGAAATACTTTTGGGCGTGGCTGGCCACCTGTGTGGGAGTCCTTGTCTTCACAAAGTTCCTGGAAATTCCCCTCCAGTCGCCCTTCCCCACCTTCTGCAGACCCTGCAAGAACAGCCGGTGCTCCTCCTCTGTCCATGGAACCCCTGCAATCGCCAACCTTTTTACTTTCTCTCTCTACAAATTAGCTTCTCTAAAAATTTGTTCTTCAAAAATCCCCTTTCACATTCATTTCTTCTGCATAAATCCCCTTTATATTCTCTACTGAGTTTCTTTGTCAGCCATCTCTTTGAAGAAATAGATTTAATAGATTAGACGAACTAATTAATTATGAACAACACATCGAAAAGAAGAAGAAAGACCCATCTCGTTATTTTCAACCAATAAAAAGAAAAGAGTTTAAGAAAAACTCAAACTCAGTTAAGACCATATCAGAGAGAACTCTATTATATTTGCAGTTTTTATCCAGGCAAACAAAAAAAAAAACTTCTTTAAGTGAATCCAAAAACCCAAATCCAGTTAAAACTGAGTAATACAACTTCTTTCCAACTAGAAATCAGGAAAGTCAAGGAGAGATAAAGGAGAGATTGAGGCAGGTGAAGAGAGAGAAATAGACCTCGTTTTCGCTCACGACTGCCGGCAGAAGCATGAACAACATCATCAGAAACATAACCCGCGGCAAGATCGGCGTTGTTCTCTGGTGGGGTGTCATATTGGGAGAGATTATTGCAACTTACCGTCTTCCTCATCGAGTTATTTACAGGGGAAGGATTATTGGAATTGAACCCCTCTGTTAATCTCACCCCAAATAGCATAACACCGCCATTTCCATTGCTGCTATCCTGCAAGCAAGTTCGCGAATTGTGGCCATTGTTGCCGCACTGCGAGCAGCTCCGCGAAGACATCCTCTCTCTAGCGCCACTCCCTCCGGAGAAAGAAACAGAGGAAATTCAACGCTGGGTCCTCCTTCCTGCCTGAAACTATAGAGAGAAAAATTTGGAGGGCTCGAGCTTGAGATCCGAATTTGGAGGTGACAGGACATCCAGAGAAAGCAAATGTAAGGCTAGCTGCGAGGCATCGGAGACAACCATAGATTTACAGAGAGAGACAGAGAGGAGATGAGAGAGACTAGGGTTTAAATTTGGCATTTAATGGCTCCCTTATTTTATATGATATTTTGTATCCTCTGCATATTAAAATTGACAGACATATCCTTGCTGACGTACGAGCAACGAAGGGTGGCAATGGGTTGGCTACCCGCCAGTTAGCCCGGTGCTAGAAAAACTAGCGTTGGGCGCTAGCCCTGTTCAGGCGAGAGCAGGATATGGCCTCCCAACCCGGCCCAGTCATATTTTTTTTATTTTTTTAAAAAAATTTAGCCCAGCCCAGCTCAGCCCTAATAAGACGAGAGCAAACTTAGCTTAGGGACTCTTTAGTGTATCCTCTACATATTGAAATTGACAAACATACCCGATATGAGCACCTAAGCGCGGCAATGGGTCGGGTGCCGGCCTAATTCGCCCAGTCCTAGAAAAACTAGAGCTTAGGTCAAAAAATGCGGCTTGAGTGATAGCCCTCACGAGGCCAATGTAGGATAAGGCCGGCCCGCCTCAACTTATAATTTTTTTTACTTTTTTTATTACTTTTTTAATTTTCTAGTTCCGCCTAACACTAATAAAGTTAGATTAGCTCTGAGCCTCTTTAGCATAGTGCTAATAGGTCTATGCAACAAAATGTGGCGTGAGGGAGTACCTGGGCCAAGGCGAGGCAAAGCTTGCCTAAAACTATTTTTTCATTTTTTAATTATTTTTTAAATGTTTAATAGTCGGGCCCTGTCGTAGTAAGGGTTGACCCTAGACCTCGTTGGTGCGGCTAGGGCCGGGACGGACCTCCGCGGCCCTTTCAACTTGGGTGTGACGGTGAGATGGGGAGGGTAGTTTGGGCATTGGTGGAATGATAAAACGTGTTCGGGTACATGAAAAAGCAGAGGCTGAGGAGGATTGAGGAGGCGGTCTCTCTCCACCGTCCGCCTCGCATATTCCGTTTGCTTTCTTATTGTGCGCTGCAGGGTCGGTCGGGCAAATATACATATATTATTAAGGGAAAATTACAAAAAGAAAAACTCTTAAGATCGTATTTTTTATGCGGTTTATCCCAACTTAATTTTTTTTCTAAAACAAACTTTTTATACAAATATTTCGAAAAAAAAAAATTTAATTTTTTTGAACCAAAATACCTTTTTCGTATACAAAAATCATTTAAACCAAATTTAATGTTTACTTTTGCACCTAGTAGCACATTCCCTGAGCGCATAAGTGCCGAACCGAACTAGGATAACTAGCGGACCGAAACTTACTTTATTTAGTGTCGGAGCTCTGGAATCCAATAATAAGACCACATTTTGTAACTTTCGGACCGCCCTTTACATAGGGCCGGAGCCCTAGAATCTAGTAACATCTCATATCGGACCGCCCTTTGTAACTATTAGACCGTCCTGTCTAACTGCCGGACCGGCACTCTACACAGTGTCGAAGCCCTACAGCACTACATTTTACAAAGTGACAGAGCTACCGGACAGCACTTAGACAATATTGGAGCTCCTATTTTGGTGGGATAGAGGAAGTATGGTAATAGTAAAAGAGAGTAGTTTAAGTATTTTTTTATTTTTATTTAGTTAGGGGATATTTGCCTAGAATGTGTATTTTGAGGGAAAAAAAAATATAGGTTGAAGGTAAATTGTATAAAAAGTATCAGTCTTGATACATATAAAAATAAATAAAATTTATATTATCGTTCGAAAACAAAAGTCATGTTACTATTAAAATTAATAATATAATAAAATAACTTAATAATATTACAAGATAACTTAATAACATAATAAGGTAACTTATCCGCCGGATTCCAAAAATTCGCCAGAAAAGATTATTCCTGCACTGGAAACTACATAAGAAGTACGAGAATCAAAGAAGATGAATATTAAGAGCTAAATAGAGTACGTCGTTCCTTGTACCATCAATTTTTAAGCATCTATAGATATGCAAAATCTGCCGCATCATTTAAACTTCGTAATTAGGGAGCACATGAAATTTTCGATCTAAAGTGTCTTGCGTTACCGTTCATTTTAGAATAACGATCTCTTATTTGTATTTTGTGAGTCATGTGCTGCATGCCAACCTCAATTAAAAGTACTTTTTGAAAAAAAAATACGTTTATGGTGCAACCTGCGGGAGCACAATATCTACTTTATTTTCTAGTAAAATGTCCGTTTAGAAAGTTGTGTAAAGGGGTTGCACGCTACAAGACCCTTCAGCTTTTGTATAAGGTGGTTCCTATCATTCTTAATTGTTGAATGTGAAATATGACGGATTAAAATATTTTATTTTATTTTTGGACTCTATGTCTAGTCAATGATACATCATTAATTATCTAATTTACATTTAATGGTCAATAATGATTGTGATATTCTCGTATCAAAAGTAAGTTACCTCACTATATACATTTCCTAAAGAAAATAAGATTGAAATCCTTTTTCAAAAATCCTTATAGGGGTCTGGTCGTCCCAGTTAATATTTGAATAGTTACTTTCTCATTTTACTTTAAGTTCCTCCTCAAAAAAAAAAAAAAGATGATAAAAACCTTTCAAAAGAAAATTGTTTCATGTGGTAGGGACTGCATTTCTACATTCGTGATCCTCGATATATAAAGCATCCTTTAAAGATGGATGCAAATAGATCCAACCTAAAAATAAGTGAAAGTAATGGTCCAAATGTTTTCTTAATAGAATTGTTATTTTTAATTTTTTAAATTTTATTTATTTTTTAATATTCATGATGTCTATATTAGATATTACATATCCTTACAAATTAGGTCCAAAAATCCATCTTAAAAATAGATTTTTAAGAGGTGACTCGTTTCTATGTAGACTCGTAGAAATCATGTCCTTTTCCAAATCACCCATGTCAATGTTGGGAAGGATGAACAATCAGGGGTGCTTTCGGAATTTGACCCTCTAAAAGGCCCCAATAAATGACAAAATGCCCTTTCATATTCAATGTATAAATAAGGAACACAGTGTTCAGGTTTAGTAACGATGAACAACTAGGATAATTTTTGTCATTTAGCACTCAAATTCCTTGCATGTATCAAGTATTATAAGTATCCTATATTTGTTCAAGCTTGGTAATAAGGAACAATTAGGAGTATCTTTTTCATTTGGTATTCAAATGCCTTGCATGTATCCAGACGCATAAATAGCTCTAATCGTTCATCATTAGGAACCCTGAAAAGTGTGTTCCTCATTTATAACCCTAAACAAGTATGTATAATTTTGTCATTTGATTGGAGGCTCTTGTTGGGGGGTGGGGCATCAAATTAGTGAAGTTTCCCTTATTGTTCATCCTTGATGAACGAAGGGCAATTTTAGAATTTTTTTAAGTTTTTTGAAAAAGTACCTAAGTGATATGAAAATGAAAAAACAACCCCTCAAATGTTAACTAATATTATTTGACCCCTCATTAGAGGGTGCAGATCATCCCAATTAACATTTAAGGGGTTACTTTTTTATTTTCACTTTTGTACCTCCTCAAAAAAAGAAATTTTTTTTTTTTTCCAAATTGCCCTTGTTAGGGTTAGGAAGGATGAACAATCAAGAGTGTTTCAAGAATTTAACCCCCCAAGATGGGAAATAAATGAAAAAAATATTCCTACTTGTTTAGTGTTATGAATAGGAAGTACACTATTCAGATATAATAATGAAGAATAACATGGGGTATTTTTGTCATTTGGCATCTAAATACATTGCATGCATCAAATGTCATAAATATCCCTAATTTGTTCAGTCTTAGTAATGATAACAACTAGGGGCATTTTTTTTGTCATTTGGTACCCAATAGCCTTGCACATATGGGATGTTATAAATACTCTTAATTGTTTATCACTAAGAACCCTAAAAAGTATTTGGATGGTAAACTTACATAAGTTCCCCAAATTGTTCATCAATCCAAATACTAAACAAAGGGTAATTTTCGTATATTTTAAAATTTTGTGAAGAAGTACCTAAGCGAAATGAAAATGAAAAGACCTTCATTTAAATGTTAATTGAGATCATTTGATTCCTTTAATAATTTTGTAAAGGGTTTTAACCGCTAAATAAAGTTCTTATTTTTGGTCGATGGCTATTAAGAAGAAGTTATTCAAAGTGACATTTTGGAATCCACATGCAATCACTGGATAAGTATTTTTAAGAAGTAAAAGTTGGATTATGAGTACGTTATATAATTAGATTGAAAAAACTAGTTTACTATGGACCAGTTTGGATGCTAATTAATTCTATCTTATTTAAAATTAGTATACTCTGAATAATTTTATTCTATTAATTGTATGATATATATATATATATATATATATATATATATATTTTATTTGGCTAAAAATACATGATGCTAGCAAATTACTTTACCTAAAGCTACAACAGCATTTCAAAAAGGTGACCTTATATGTAAAACCATTCATAAATTACTTAGAAAACTTCATTATCAAGATTAAATTTATTGAAATAGTAAATTATCAATGATAATGAGTACATTCATACATGCCCTAGAGCATTAATTTTATACCATAAAAGTGAAAAGCAACTCAAAAACCCAAAGAAAAAGGTTGTTATGATGCTTGAAAATCCTCTAATAGTCGTCTCGACAATGTGGAAAAAAAATAAAAAAATAAAATCCTAAAGTGATCAATCTTATAACACATTATTTGGAAAATCCACTTCCAATATTTTTAAGAGTACCATCTTCCATGGGTTTGGAAGTGTGTTTTACTTTGATTATTTAATATTAACAACTTATCTAAACCCCTCCAGATTAAATTTGCTCATTTAAAATCAAGAGGTGGAATTTATTTGATAAGGAAAACTTATCAAAATGAAAATAAGAGGCAAACAATTTAGAATCTTTCCCTATCTTTCGGTTTAGTTTTAAAATTATGCAAATATACAAGATTTTGGAATAGATGAAAAAAAAAAAACATTTGATAGATTAAATGCTAGAAACATAGCACTACCCACACATAAAGTATATGTGATTACTATTCCAAGGCATCCAATCCAAATTGGCAACTGGGAAC